TGGCCTAGTGGTTCTTAAAGAAAATTCTTTAATGACCCAACCCTTTTTTTGCTTTTTCTTAATTTTCTCCCCTTGGTAAAGCCTTTATATTAACAACATAAACTCCCCATCACTAAAGGTTGCTTTGTACCTAGTTTGGTTAAAATTGGCCCAGTGGTTCCTGAGAAGTTGAAAATCTGAAGCAGGCAGTGATGACGGAAAACGGTGTGATCAGAAAAGTTCAGGTTAGCTCATAAAAATTTCCTATACAATGTATATGTATTTCTATGCAAAACTTTGCTCAACCATTATGGCCCTGCCCTACCCATGGAGGTCATGATTTGAACAAAATTTAATCTACACTACCTGACTATGCTTGCATATGACCAATCATGGCTTTGCTGTTCTTGAAAAGTAAATTTTAAAAGAATTTTCCTACATAATTCTATGTAAACGGCCATTGTGACCCTGTACTACCTCCAGGAGTCATGATTTGAACAAACTTGTATCTACGATACCTGACAATGCTTCCATAAAAATATGACAAATCATGGCTTTGCTGTTCTTGAGAAAAAGAATTTTAAATAATTTCAGTTTTTCTATGCAAAATTTTGATCCCATTGTGACCCTGCCCTAACCCCCCCCCCCCCCCCCCCCCCGGGGTCACGATTTAACAAACTTGAAAATACACTATCTGGAGATGGTTCCATATAAATATGACCAATCATGGCTTTGCTGTTCTTAAGAAGAAGAATTTTAAAAAAATGTTCCTAGTATATATTTTTCTTTTTAAAACTTTGATCAGCCATTGTGACCCCCCCCCTACCGCAAGGGGCATGATTTGAACAAACTTGAATCTACACTATCTGGGGATGCTTCCATATAATTAAACTAGAAGTACTCTGAGCATCACTAAATAATCACCATCACCCCCTGCCTCCCATATGAATTGAATGGCAGTATCCATATTTTGCTCTGGAAAATCCAAAATATATGGCAGATAAAAGAGTCAAATAGGAGGTCATAATGGCAATATGTAATAAAGATTCTGTGAAAGTTTCATTGCATTTCCTTCAGTGGTATGAGAGGAGTTGCGAATAAGAGATGGGTACCCCAAAGCGGAACAGATGGACCGACATACCGATTACTTTATACCCTCCCACTTTTCAAGCGGGGGTATAATAAGACCAATCATGCTTTGCTGTTCTTGAGAAGAAGATTTTAAAAGAATTTTCCTATAAATTTCTATATATAAAACTTTGATCGGTCATTGTGGCCCCGCTCCCTACCCCCAAGGGTCATGAATTGAACAAACTTTAATCTACACTACCTCACGATGTTTCCTCATAAGTTTCATCCTTCCTGGCAAAGTGGTTCTTGAGAAGAAGATTTTTAAGGTAAACTAGAGGTACTGTGAGCAACGAGCTCACTAAATGATACCCCCTGCCTCCCATAATGTCCAAGTGTTGCTAATTATTGTTTTACGGTAATGTGTAAAGAGGAATAAATCAATATCTCGTCTTATCAAATGTTATCCAGAAGCTTCTACATGTGACGTAATAGGTAAACATATAATGGCAATGTCCATGTTTTGCTACGGGAAACCTAAAATACGTGTCGAATAAAAAAGGAAAATAGGAGGTGCACAATGGCAATATGTAATGCAATCTAATTAAAATTAGATGTTAGATCCGCTCGCATACTAGCTACACTAACATCTAACAACATCCCATAGAGGGTCACGTCAGAGGTCAAATTCTATCAACCAATCAAATTGTTGCTGGCAAAATCATCGGACATTTGTCGAAGTAATCGAAGCGAATAGATCTCGAGTTGTTCCGACTTTGACCTTTGACGTGACCCTCTATGGGATGTTGTTAGATGTTAGTGTATAGGGAGTATGCGAGCGGATCTAACGTCTAATTTTAATTAGATTGTATGTAATGAGGATTCTGTAAAAGTTTCATTAAATTTCACTCAGTAGTATAAGAGGAGTTGCAGATAAGAGATAAAGCGTAACAGACGGACGGACGGAAATACCGATTACTATTTACCCTCCCACTTTTCAAGCGGGGGGTATAATAACATAAAAAGGACTATAACAAAAGATTTATTGCCCGAGTTTTGGTTCTTGAGTCTGACGAAATGCATGTTGCCCTCGAACCCAGTCAATAAACATGATAAATGTATATTAGCATTTACTACTACTGAGTACTCTTACCATACCTTACTTGTCATCCATTTCAATGGTAATAGCATAACTATTGTAGCCTTGCCCTTCTTGAGACTACACATATGAGGGCTGTTCGAAAATTATTGTTAGAGACACTGTGTATATTTCTCTTTCTAATTATGTCTTTCATTAAGATTTCATAAAAGCAAGAAATAATTAACAAATATTATATATCTTCTCTTCAAAGTTAATTAATGTAATTGTGTCAATGAATGGAAGAAGCACTCGGCGTAGTCATGAATTCAGATATTGAAAATATGCAACACCAACACTGAAACTCCCGGTGGACCCGTAATAAAAGCGAAAATATAATTCAATTTATGTGTATATTTATTCAATTTAATTTTGTTTTCATGCCGTGTAAGTTTGTTAGAATTTTGATCAGTAATACAGAGATCATTAAAAGAATTAGGCACAGTAAAGATATCTGATAATGACGACAAAATGGATTTTTATGTCAAGGTGGAGCAGCCAGCACACCTAAACTCTGTGTAGCGCTAAGTAGAACTCATATCCAGACTGAACAACTTGCTAAAATAATTAAAAAAACCAGACGTCTCTTTCAAGACTGTAGCTCTACTGGTTTATACTTAAAACAAAGGAAGAGAAAAGTAGCAGTTGGGACTTGAGACTTTAAATCAGCAATAAATAGAAAAATGATCCTTGCCACTCATCAAAATAAAAACAGATGCACAGAATTATGTATCTTAGTATAGTCTACTTGTGTGTCAAGTTATACTGAAATCGGACCAAAACTGTATGAGGAGTAGCATTTTGAAAGAATTTCACAGAAATTTCTATTTTTAGTAACCATGGCAACACCGTTCATCGAAATCAAAAACCAATGCACAGAATTATGTATCTTAGTGTAGTCTACTTGTGTGTCAAGTTATATTGAAATCGGACCAAAACTGTAGGAGGAGTAGCATTTTGAAAGAATTTCACAGAAATTTCTATTTTTAGTAACCATGGCAACACCTTTCATCGAAATCAAAAACCGATGCACAGAATTATGTATCTTAGTGTAGTCTACTTCTGTGCCAAGTTATATTGAAATCGGACCAAATCTATAGGAGGAGTAGGATTTTGAAAGAATTTCACAGAAATTTCTATTTTTAGTAACCATGGCAACACCTTTCATCGAAATCAAAAACCGATGCACAGAATTATGTATCTTAGTGTAGTCTACTTGTGTGTCCAAGTTATATTGAAATCGGACCAAAACTGTAGGAGTAGTAGCATTTTGAAAGAATTTCACAGAAATTTCTATTTTTAGTAACCATGGCAACACCTTTCATTGAAATCAAAAACCAATGCACAGAATTATGTATCTTAGTATAGTCTACTTGTGTGTCAAGTTATACTGAAATCAGACCAAAAATGTAGAAGGAGTAGCATTTTGAAAGAATTTCACAGAAATTTCTAATTTTAGTAACCATGGCAACACCGTTCATCGAAATCAAAAACCGATGCACAGAATTATGTATCTTAGTGTAGTCTACTTCTGTGCCAAGTTATATTGAAATCGGACCAAATCTATAGGAGGAGTAGGATTTTGAAAGAATTTCACAGAAATTTCTATTTTTAGTAACCATGGCAACACCTTTGATCGAAATCAAAAACCGATGCACAGAATTATGTATCTTAGTGTAGTCTACTTGTGTGTCCAAGTTATATTGAAATCGGACCAAAACTGTAGGAGTAGTAGCATTTTGAAAGAATTTCACAGAAATTTCTATTTTTAGTAACCATGGCAACACCGTTCATTGAAATCAAAAACCAATGCACAGAATTATGTATCTTAGTATAGTCTACTTGTGTGTCAAGTTATACTGAAATCGGACCAAAAATGTAGAAGGAGTAGCATTTTGAAAGAATTTCACAGAAATTTCTAATTTTAGTAATCATGGCAACACCGTTCATCGAAATCAAAAACCGATGCACAAAATTATGTATCTTAGTGTAGTCTACTTGTGTGCCAAGTTATATTGAAATCGGACCAACACTGTAGGAGGAGTAGCATTTTGAAAAATTGTTTACAGACAAACAGACAGACAGACGGACGGACGACGGACGCATTACTATTGCATAAGCTCTTCTGGTCTCTGACCAGTAGAGCTAACAACAAGAAAAAACATGCCTGATGGTTTGTTATTTCATTGGTTTATAGCTTTTCCTAACCAATAATTTAACCATTGTGAAATTAAATTCTCAGGATGACCTTAAATTATTACGGAATTAATAACATTGGCCTGAGTTGCATAACTCGGTAAAGATATGTTGATAGACATATTCGTGTTTATAATTTCAGCGGAAATTGAATAAGAAATTTTGCATAATTTTTTATTCGATCATTATAAAATGTTGGGGAATTTTCATGAATTTATCTCTGTCCTTTATGTAAAGGTTACATGCCGAAAACTGTCCATTCTGTGAGAAGAAAGTACTATTGGAGGGCCGTTAGGCCCGACAATAGTTCTTTTTTCTCACAGAATGGACAGTTTGAGGCTTGTAACCTACTTAAAACATTTCATTCCATTGTGTTCAGAATGGACTCTCTTAGAAAAGTTTCTCTCTCTTGCAACGTCAATGAAGTAAACATCCTTTGTATTAAATTTGGCATTGTCTTCTTAGTAGACTGTCTCAGGTAAATTTGTTGATTTAAATACTGTGAATAGGATTCACTTCAATTGTTAACTTAGTGGACAGTTACAGGTGAGTTCCTTGGTTTTGTATAAAAAGCATGCACATCGAACACCACTTCTTAGTAAATGTCCCTGCGGTTAGGATGTCCTCTTCAGATGGAGAAAGCGTGTTTTTAACACAAAACAAGTTTAGAGAAGTTGATGAACAAGAAAACAACACGGATGGCATTCTCAGTGATATTTTGGATTTGGAAAGAGAACATCCAAAAAAACAACCGAATTTTGACCTCAAAGTAGATATTTTTTCGGATATTTCTGACGAGGAACTTGTTAAGGCCACCCAAGACATAGAAGGAAAAGAAAATATTGAAAGGTTTGCACGGCTCAATCAAGAAGATTTGGATAATTTGGTTAAAAAAGGTTTATCGAAGAAAACAGAGCAAAAGTCAAAGTGGGCAATGACTCTATTTACGAACTGGCAAAATGAACGAAAGCGTATGTTACCAAACCATGATACATTTATGTACCAGGATTTTATGATAATGAGTGATGAGGAAATCAACAAAACAATGAGTTTCTTTGTAGCTGAAGTGAGGAATAAATCTGGAGAGGATTACAGACCCAATAGCTTGTATGAAATTGTGTGTGCAATTCAACACAAATTACGACATGAAGGTAGATTCATAAACTTTTTGGATGATGATAAATTTCACGATATGCGCAGTATTCTTGATTCAAAGATGAAAGAACTCTCTGGGCGAGGCATGGGGATAGAGCGGAAACGGGCAGAGATCATAACTGAGGCTCAAGAAGATGAAATGTGGTCCAAGGGAGTTTTAGGAAGAGATACACCTCAAAAACTCTTAGATACTCTACTGTTTCAACTAGGACTACATTTTGCACTACGAGCAGGACAGGAACACAGAAACTTGAGGGTTGGGACAAACAGTCAGATTTCTCTTTCCATGGATGCATCTGGACTGCGATATCTCGAATATAGAGAGGATGTCTCCAAAACAAATCGCGGTGGGCTCCAGCACAAAAATCTGCAACCTAAAGTTACCAGAGCATACCAGAACAAGAATGTTCCCGAGAGATGTCCTGTGCTCACGTATGAAAAATATCTGCATTTAAGGCAAGTATATTGTTGTTAATTTCCACCAAAATATTGCTGTAACATATATCTTAATTTAAAACACTTTAATCTATAATATGCAATTTTCTTTTAAAGGCCTGAAGCTGGTAAAACCAATGCTCTCTATTTGCGACCTCTGCGGTACCCCCCAGATTCCACTCGGTACGCCGACTCCCCTGTTGGAGTACACACTCTTCAACAGACCGTCGCAAAACTGTGTAAAATAGCAGGATTTACTGGCCACTACACAAACCATAGCCTCAGAGCAACCGCCGCAACACGCCTTTACGATGCTGGCATTGATGAGCAGCTAATAACCGAGAAAACTGGACACCGCTCGACATCTGTTAGATCGTATAAAAGAACAAATGAAGAACAACAGCAAAGAGTGAGCAAAATCATTCACGGTGAAAATCAGTGTGATGTAGCTATCAAGAAAGCCAAAACCGCAGCCGAAAGTGATTCTAATGTGTGTGCACCAGCTGGTGCTAGTGAAATTGAAATTTCGTCTGGAAGTGTATTTTTCAAATTTAAATTCTAAAGTTGGAATAATTATTACAATGTGTGTAATTCGTTGTTCATGAATAACATGTATATCTTTTGTGTTGGATTTGTTGTTATTTTTTTCTTAGTGCTTACCTGTAACTGTCCAATAAGTTGTAAAAAAGTGTCCACTATTTTTAATAGTGGACAGTTTTTCCAACTTACTGGACAGTTACAGGTAACTTATTGGATTGTTTTTGTTATTTCAAGGATAAGAAGGTATTAAAAGAACAAAAGATGATGTCATAACAATGTTTTAAGGATTTAAAGTAAATGTCTCAATAATTTCCAAACAACCCTCGTATACTATTTATTATACTTCTGTGAATAATTTCTGTATAAAAATATGACAAATAAACATGCCATTTTTTTCTTAAGAGTTTGTACTATGAAATAGTTTTAGTGCTATTTGGCCATGGTGAAAGTCATCAAACTTTTCACCTATTGTCCTCATAGCCAGTTAATAGGTGTATACTATAGAAGTAGTGGGATGATCCACTGTTGGACAACAGTATTCACTTTGACCATATATGGATTGATTCATCTAATTTAATATCACGATAACTGACCGCTTTTTTATTTCATAAAATGTCCGGGCTTTAGAATTCGAAATTTTAAGTCCTTTAGTCTGTATCAAGATTGATTGATTGATTGTATACCGTTTAATGTCCCTCTCCAGAATATTTCACTGATATGGAGACGTCACCATTGCCGGTGAAGGGCTGCAAATTTAGGCCTATGCTCGGCACTTGTTAAAACAATTAGAAATATATAAAGTACAAACATCTTGGTGATACAGAATTAAACAATCAGAAATAAAGTACAAACATCTTGGACATTCTTGGTGATACAGAATTCAAAATATAAGAGTCAAAATGGTGTCAGTCTCGCCAGATTATGTTAAATCAACAAAACCTGATGGCAGTAAGTCGTGTTTCTGTTGAATTAGTTAATTTTCATAATCTGTTATGTTCCAAATAAAATGCTCTAAAAAATTATCTAGTTTTATTTGGTTTTAAATGTATCGTGATATGTATCGTACTGCACCTAAGGTATCATGATATATATCAGATTGGTTAAGTTCAGTATCATCCCAGCCCTAATACTAAGGTGCTTGCATATCAATAACCATGACTATTCATGCTGACCTTCAGATTTTTTTGGCTTTCTCCTGTAAATAATTATTCCAGTGTAAAAATTTTGTCCTTTTGTTATCCCATCTTACCCCTTGACTTGATGTCATGATTTGACTCGATTGATTGATCGTATATTGTTTAACATCAATGATCCATTATATTTCAAGGTGGTCCTTTTACACATTTCAGTTCCATCATTTCAAAGGAGATGTGACAACTTGTTGGATGAAAGTCGTATCCAACTACAAATCTTTGGAGATTTCTTTTTATCCCATATTTAATATTTCACAATCAATGTATTACATAGGACTCCACTATATTTTATTTCATCACACTAACACAAAACTGTGCACATTTAAAAATTTCACTCTTTATTTTGTTACTTGTGCTTTTGTATGACTTCTGGGCCCAAAATTGAAAATAAATACTTACATAGTGATGTCAAACTGCGCTTAACTGTTATATATATTTAATTAAAAACAACAACAAAAAGCAGAGTACACAGGTTGAAGGCGAGTAGTTTTGAGGGATAGCAGCTACATCTTGAACGCATACCAATAATGGGTTAGTCAAGTGCTCTTTGCAAATACTAGCTGTAGCCTTTAGGTGCCGTTTCTACAAAGTGAAAGTGCCGTTTTCACTGGGTACCGTTTGAACGAAAATTCGTTACATGTATTTTCGCTTATCGTCTTTTAAAATCTCGCACACTGGAAAAAAGCACAGTAAAATCGTCTACATTTGTTTAGCTTTACCTCGCAGCTAAGCCAGTCACCGTTCCACATTGATCAGATGAGATTTATAAGAAAAATTTGAGTTCATACATCAATTTCATATACCAAAGTATTAAAAGACACTACATCAAACAATTAATACCTTTTAAGTAATGGAAAACGTAATTATGAGCTTTAAAATCCCGCAAACCCCAATAAAAGTTACTTCAAGTTCTCTATCTCAGCACGTTGTCCAATATGGCGTCGGTATGTAGAATTTTCATGAACATCGAACCCGATTAAATTTGATTTGTCAAAGAGACATGGTACACATGACCAACGTAATTCTTATGGTTAAAAATATATACACAATATGTACAAATACAGTATACATAATATTTCAACGTTTTCAAAAAAAATTGGAGAAAGTTTTATCAAATCTCATTAAAGTTATGAAACTGCAGCATTTTGTAAGTATCTAACAGAAATTTTAATTTTTGGTATCTATGGTAACATCCTTTCACCCAAATTAAAAACCAACATACAGAATTATGTAAAGTACATTGTAGTCTACTTATGTGCCAAGTTATATATATTAAATCAGATGAAACTTGGTGGAGAGGTAGCATTTTGAATGAATTTTCAAAAAATTCTATTTTTAGTAACCATGCTAATACTGTTCATCCAAATCAAAAACTGATGCACAGAATTATGTATCTAAGTGTAGTCTACTTGTGTGCCAAGTTATACTGAAATCAGACAAAAGCTGTAGGAGGAGTAGCGTTTTGAATGAATTTCACAAAAGTTTCTATTTTTAGTAACCATGGCAACACCGTTCCTCAAAATCAAAAACCAATGCACAGAATTTTGTATTTTAGTATATTCTATTTGTATGCCAAGTTATATTGAAATCAGAGCAAAACTGTAGAAGAAGTAGCGTTTTAAAGGAATTTCATAGAAAATTCTATTTTTAGTTAACATGGCAACACCGTTCGTCGAAATCAAAAACCGATGCACAGAAATATGTTTCTTAGTGAAGTCTACTTGTGTGCCAAGTTATACTGAAATCAGACAAAAACTGTAGGAGGAGTAGCATTTTGAAAAATTGTTTACAGACAGACAGACAGTATATATGCTGTGACATTCTCTTGTCCGATGAACCCATTGTTTTCAAGTAAAAATAAGTATAAAACTGTTAATCGTGATTGCTTTTAAATAAAGAAATCAATATTTATCGACGGATTTTTCCATTATTTCCCGATCATGACAAGTAGCACACAGCGGGTGTGACCGGTCAGCAAGGGATGCTTATTCCTACATGGCATCTGATCCAACTTCTGACGTTTTAGTGATCCGTGTTTGCTCTGATCCTGATTTCTATTTATTGAATGGGCTTTTGAGCTTGAATACTGTTCTTCATTTTATTAAATTTTCACAAGAATTACAGATTTAAGGTGAACATATTATTGAAGATAATGGTCGGAATTGTCAAAATATCTCTTATTTGGAACAATCTAAAGCCTTAAATACGGGCAACTGAAAATTGAATCAGTAGCCAAGGAGAAGAACTCCAGCCGTAGGTCCAAAGTTTTGGGCACTTAGATGAAATGTTCCTTACTAGTCTAAAAATAAAAGTCTAAGAAGTAGACAGTATGAAATATACAGTCACAATACGATAGTTTTTTTTTTTGCCAGGAAGGTCATTATAGCGGTCATGCAATTAAGGATATGTTGACTTTAATAGAAATTTTTGAAATCCGTGCAACATCAACTTATTGGTCAGTAGTTTCTCTCGATTTAAACAACTTACCGTTCACAAAGAATAGCTAAAGTCATTTCTTTTATCGGATAATTTTGTTGGTCCTAATCGTCGTTAGCCAGTATAATACATTCAAATATGAAATAGATGATACTGAATTTCAGGTCACTGGGATATGAATGAAAATAACTTTTAATACTTAATTCAACGTCATTGATATATCTTAATGTTGAAAACCTAAAAGTGTTTATTTCTTCTTAGGAAGTAATTTTTAAATACATGTACTAGTAATTCTTTTTCATAATAAAGGAAAATGAAATCGGCCTATAAAAAAAGGACAAAAAATACGTTCTAAATAGGTCACTATGAGTATTCTCCACAACATCATTAAATTTAAACACACATACACATATATACCTGATACAAAAATTCGAAATTTTCATTGACATAAGCATCTTTTTGACAATGTTAACATCAGCTGGTTTTGTTCCAGATGAAATTAATGGAGATAACGAACAGTATTCAAGCTAAGTCCATTAAACAATACAAAATAGAAGCAGTGCAAAGACGGACCTAAAAAAACATCAGAAGTGGGATCAGGTGAGGAGTGAGCATCCCCTGCCGACCGGTCACACCCGCCGTGTGCTCCTTGTCATGATCGGCAAATAACGGACAAATCCGTCGACAGTTAATATAATGACCTAACAAATAGTATGAAAAACATTAGAGGTTGAATCGTTTGCCATGGGGAAGTGAGCATCCCCTGCCGACCGGTCACATCCGTAGTTTGCTCCTTGGTATGATCGAGAAAATAACGGAAAAATCCGTCGACAGTTCAATGTAAATTAAAATGCATGAAGAATAGCAAGAAAAACTCCAGTCGACAAGTAATGATAAATTGTATTTGTTGACAAGGTCGATCACTGTATCGACCATAGAACATACGAAATGATGACTTTAAACGAGATTGCTAATATTCTTGTTTCAGCAACTTGTTTGTCAATTTCTTACCTCGCTTTAAAAATATGTTCATAGGTAGAGCATGCTTTTGCGTATCGAATCAGTTAAAGCTGACATGAACTCTTAAAAAAACATCATTTTTAATCTTTGTACGACTTACTACATTCCTGTACGCCCTTGTTCGCAATATTTCTTCGATTCCGCCATATTTATTCAAAATATTTTGGCCACTTGTACCTGCTATATAAAGCCTGGTACATTTGTTTCACTTGAGTGATTTTCTAGCCTGGCTGTCGACGTGTACACATCTCCGATAGCAATAAATTTTAGAAATCCATAAACTTACCAAACTCATGTTTTAAAAGTAAAAATCCAACAAAAACTAGAACTAGCATACTGAGAAGTAAATTATTTTTGAATGCATTAGCTGCAGTATAGAAAAAGCACTAAAACGGAATACATTCATGTACAGCAAAAACCGTTTGGAGATCGAGAAAACGCATCGAACGCAGTTATAAAACATTTACCTGAATACTGCTATCGTTACTGGGATGTGCACATGTCGAAAAAAATATCCTATTTTACTTTTATTGAAATATGCATCTCAGAAGTC